AGATCCTTCATTGGAAAAAATTCTCAATTTATGTGGATACACTGCACCCTTACCTTGAAACGAACACAAATTCTTGCCGTGTAACCAGCACGGACGTCGGAAAGGCTTAAGCCGTTTGGACACGGTGAGCACTTGAATGTGGCGTCAATTATGATACTTTGGCTGCAGTCACGTACAGTGCGGTGTATTGACGCGCAACTCTGAAATATTCGTTAAGTCCTGTTTTCTTTTCAACTTTCGGCTTTTCTTTTCGTCAGGTAGTCGTATCGCGTTTCTATTGTGTCCGTTGATTACCCAGAAATCTTTAATCTTTTCAATGTGTGTATGGTGGCAAAAAAAGTTTCTCTCACCCCGTTTATGACAATTTGAAAGTGCTTCATTGGTGGAAAGGGTGTTGCATTTGGTTGCCCGATAAGTAGTGAGGTTTTTTTCGAATGAGAAGTTTTCACATGATCTCATGTACCTGTCGAAAGAGAATTGTTTTCATCATGTTGTATATTGTGCCGCTTCTATGTTTATTGTGAAGTTACTAATACAGGCTTGCGTATGGGATCTCCAGTGAAAGAAAAATAATCAAACGGGCATCCCACGTGTAATCCAGTGAATCAGTAACTTCGCAATGAATATGATATCAGCACCATGCATTCTAGAGTGAAAACAATTCTCTTTCCACAGGTACACAAGATCACATGGAAACATTGGATCTTACAGGAAAGATTTCCTTTCGAACGGAAAACTTACTGCCCAGCAACTTAATATAGATTTCGCTATTCTCATGTTCCAATTTACACATTATCCCCCGAATTAGCCTTATATTGGTTATAGGCCGCGTGGGCCACAGGAAGCTGTATGTTAAGATTTCGTCGTTCGATATTTCCTGTACTTCCCTGGTTATTGCCCCATCGGGCTCGAATATTGTTCTGATATGTTGGTTGCGTGGAGACAAAACGTAAGTTCCGTCGCAGGGTATCGAAGATAAAGATGGAATCAAAGTAGTTATTCAGTTTCAGTCTTTTTAGTGAGTTACACTCAAAAGACCGAAAAAGAAAGATGTCCGCTTCCGAATGATTCCGTGATCGATAGTGATCTTGATAACCTACCCACCCCGATACTTAATAAACGAAAC